GAGATGAAATTAGAGGAGGCACCACTGTCAATTAAGGCTTTAACGACTCGGCCTCGAATGGTCATAGAGAGGTAAAGGGGTTTAGAGGGAGAAGGGTTTTCAAGGGAAGCGATCATGGGGCTAGGGGTTGCACCAGAAAGTCGCCCCGCACTTACTGGTGACCACCTTTTCCAGGGGTAGGAAGAAGTGGTTTTGAATTTGGAGGACTGCGGCAAAATCGCCAGGTGTGACCTTTCTTGCCGCACTTGAAGCAGACGACGGAGGGGTTCTGATTCTGCTTCTTCTCCATCACATCCAGGTCCATCGGAGCAGGTTCTTGCTGAGCGTAGCCTGTTGAAGCAGAGGGCTGATAGGAGGGAGCAAAAGGGAGCAACGGGGCGCGAGGAAACCTTGCTTTGTAAGCAAATTGAATTGAGTCACACCATTCAGCGACCCCGGTCATTTCCTCAAGCGTCGTGCAATCCCTCAACTCAACCTCCATACGCACGTTCTGCTTCAACCCACGCATGAAGCGGTCCATGCGTTCAGCATCAGAGAGGTCAGGGATTTCTTGGGCAATGTCGCAGAAGTTGGCGGCGTACTCTTGAACGGATTTCACCTGCTTGAGAGCCGCAAGTCGATCACGCGCCTTGATGCTCGGATTCACCGGTTGGAAAGCGGCCGTGAACGCCTGCGTGAAGTGCTGCCACGAGGTGATGGAGGTGTGTGCACCCTGCCACCAAGCAACTGCGGAGCCGCGGAGTAACGTGCCGGCAAAGACGCTCCACTCGGAAGGTGCAACGTGGCTCATCGTCAAGTACTGCTCCACTAAGAAGAGCCAACGACTAACAACGGGTTGACTTTTGCTTGGGATGAAGAAATCGGGAATCGCCGGTCTAGCGCACTGACTATCTCCAGAAGGTGTAGCAGGAGGAGGATTCGCTGCTACCGCACCGGCTGCAGACATACTAGCTTTCAATTCAGCTCACAAGCTCTCACGAACTTCAGAAACGATTTGGGCGCGGCAATTCTCTAGAAAAGCCGCCCAATCGTCAGGAGAAGGGGGTTGCTCGGACGTCATGACGTTCTAGAAAAAAGAAAAAAAGAAAAAAAAAACGCAAGAACGTGGCTCTGAGACCAAATATAACAGCTCAAGGGCTGTTAATATAAGTAGAGGTTGAGGGATCCTTGAAGAAAGAGTGCTAGCATAATCACTAGATCATATGATGGCTTCAAACAAAGAAGAGAGCACACTTATACTAGGAAAGCTTTCTTGGCACCTTGGTACTTCTAAAGGTGCCTAGATAAGGTCGCCCGTGGCGCCTTGGCATTTCTATCCTAGCTGGAGACAAGCAAGCAAGCTCATGATTATTTACAAGTAGCCTTGCCTTGTTGTCTCTCATAGGAAATAGCTAAGCAAGCATAGAAATTAACTGTACAAGTAGTTTTCATTTTCCAAGTAGTGCTGGCGTCTTCGTCATCTTGTAGATGTCGATTGTAGTCTTCCCTGGTGCTTGTAGTAGCTGCAGTAGTTAATCTCTAGGTTGTGCTGGCACTTTCCACGCTTTGCAGGCTCTCAGAATCTGCTATGGAGTAGTGCTGTGTCTCACATGCAGCTGTACAAATTTGGGGTTGGGGAATTGTTCAGTTCGAGGCACACGATTTTGGTTGGACAAATCCAACCTCGAAATCTACAGTTCGCTGAGTTGGCGAACTTTTGGGTGAGTTCTCTTTCGCCTTGTAACAAGGGCAGGGGGAAAGGGAGAGGAGGATAGGGGAAAAGGGAGAGGAGGATAGGGGGAAAGGGAGAGGAGAATAGGGGGAAAGGGAGAGGAGGATAGGGGGAAGGGGAGAGGAGGACAGGGGCCAGGGGAGAGGAGGATAGGGGGAAAGGGAGAGGAGGCAAGAGGGAAAGGGAGAGGGCGTTAGGGGGAACGGGAGATGAGGATAGGAGGAAGGGAGAGGGCGTTAGGGGGAAAGGGAGAGGAGGATAGGAGGAAAGGGAGAGGAGGATAGGGGGGAAAGGGAGAAGAGGATAGGGGGAAAGGGAGAGGAGGATAGGGGGAAAGGGAGAGGAGGATGGGGGGAAAGGGAGAGGAGGATAGGGGGAAAGGGAGAGGAGGATAGGGAGAAAGGGAGAGGAGGACAGGGGGAAAGGTAGAGGAGGGCAGCGGGAAAAGGAGAGGAGGATAGGAGGAAAGGGAGAGGAGGATAAGGGAAAAGGGAGAGGAGGATAGGGGGAAAGGGAGAGGAGGATAGGGAGAAAGGGAGAGGAGGACAGGGGGAAAGGGAGAGTAGGACAGGGGGAAAGGGAGAGGAGGCAAGAGGGAAAGGGAGAGGGCGTTAGGGGGAACGGGAGATGAGGATAGGAGGAAGGGAGAGGGCGTTAGGGGGAAAGGGAGAGGAGGATAGGAGGAAAGGGAGAGGAGGATAGGGGGAAAGGGAGAGGAGGATAGGGGGAAAGGGAGAGGAGGATAGGGGGAAAGGGAGAGGAGGATAGGGGGAAAGGGAGAGGAGGATAGGGGGAAAGGGAGAGGAGGATAGGGGGAAAGGGAGAGGAGGACAGGGGGAAAGGTAGAGGAGGGCAGGGGGAAAGGGGGAGGAGGATAGGGGGAAAGGGAGAGGAGGATAGGGGGAAAGGGAGAGGAGGATAGGGGGAAAGGGAGAGGAGGATAGGGAGAAAGGGAGAGGAGGAAAGGGGGAAAGGGAGAGTAGGATAGGAGGAAAGGGAGAGGAGGATAGGGGGGAAAGGGAGAGGAGGATAGGGGGAGAGGGAGAGGAGGATAGGGGGAAAGGGAGAGGAGGATAGGGGGAAAGGGAGAGGAGGATAGGGGGAAAGGGAGAGGAGGATAGGGGGAAAGGGAGAGGAGGATAGGGGGAAAGGGAGAGGAGGATAGGGGGAAAGGGAGAGGAGGATAGGGAGAAAGGGAGAGGAGGACAGGGGGAATGGGAGAGGAGGGCAGGGGGAAAGGGAGAGGAGGATAGGGGAAAAGGGAGAGGAGGATAGGGGGAAAAGGAGAGGAGGATAAGGGGAAAGGGAGAGGAGGATAGGGGGAAGGGGAGAGGAGGACAGGGGCCAGGGGAGAGGAGGATAGGGGGAAAGGGAGAGGAGGCAAGAGGGAAAGGGAGAGGGCGTTAGGGGGAACGGGAGATGAGGATAGGAGGAAGGGAGAGGGCGTTAGGGGGAAAGGGAGAGGAGGATAGGAGGAAAGGGAGAGGAGGATAGGGGGAAAGGGAGAGGAGGATGGGGGGGAAAGGGAGAGGAGGATAGGGGGAAAGGGAGAGGAGGATAGGGGGAAAGGGAGAGGAGGATAGGGGGAAAGGGAGAGGAGGATAGGGGGAAAGGGAGAGGAGGATAGGGGGAAAGGGAGAGGAGGATAGGGGGAAAGGGAGAGGACGATAGGGGGAAAGGGAGAGGAGGATAGGGGGAAAGGAGAGGAGGATAGGGGGAAAGGGAGAGGAGGATAGGGGGAAAGGGAGAGGAGGACAGGGGGAAAGGGAGGGCGTGATACGGAGGGGCGGAGAGGGAGAGAGCAGAGAGGAGGAGAGTGGGATACGGGGAGGTGGGGAGGGGGTACCTGACAGCAGGAGCAGGGGAAACGGAGAAGGTTAGAGCGGGGGTAAGGAGAGATCGCTCTTAATTCCTTCAATGTCAAGCGCATATCCCTTGCTGCCCCCGCGCCTGGTCCTTGCATTCCCTCGCACCGTACCCCTTGCCTTCCCCGTACATATGCCCCACTCCCTCCCGCACGACCCTTGTATTCCTCAACGCTCTCCTTCTCTGCATTGCCATCACCTGTTCCCGCGTGTCCCCCCGATTTGGCCTGTACTTCCCCTCCGCTTATTCTCTGCTTGCCATCCCTTGCTCCCCACCGTGCCTATCCCTCCATGCGCATGTGCCTCATCGTATCCCTGCGCCGAACCATCAAGCGGTGCTCCCTTGCATTCCCTGGACCAGTTGCTTGCCGTTTCCCCTCATGTGTTCCACGCTCTCCGCGGCATAGCCTTGTTTTCTTCGCGACAAATCCTTGCTTTTCCCCTCTGCGTATCTCTCGCCTAGTCATCGCCTATTATGTTGCTTCGCAACGTGGGGAAAAGAAAGCGCGATGAGGGGGAGGGAGAAGCGTGACGAGGAGGAGCCCGAAGCGCCACGAGGATGAAGGAGAAGCGCGACGGAGGAGAAAGTGTCGCCCGGGGAAGAGTACAGCGAAGGGCGGGAGTGCGCGCTTTTGGAAGAGTGGCAGGCGACGCGAGACAGAATAGGTGGGACGGGAGAGGGGAGAATCAACGAGAGAGTGAGTTGCCTTTTCGGAAGTGTGGGGGATCTTTTCCTGCCTTGTCGCTGCCGCCATGGACTTCAGTCCTAAGAACCCAAACGCTCAGTATCTTGATTCTCATCGGGGTGTGGCTTTGTGGAGGCACTTCGTTGTGTGACATCGCACGCGTTGGTGGGCTTTTAGGTGGCCAATCCACACCCGTCGTTTTTTGTTTCCAACCAGTCGCCCAATTATGGGGTAACCCTGTTGGCGTGGGTTGGGTTGGCGACGGATCAAAAATCAAAGTCTTTGCCTTGGTCTTACTTGGGTCACGCGCTTTAAACCTAAAACTATAGTGGATGGAAATGCCAGGTACACGCCATTTAGGAAATTGTCGGCAGAGGGTTTAGTTAAAGCCAATGGCCCAAAAGACATTGAGCAAAATTTCTAGCTTACGTACGTCCATTATCCTTTCATTATCTTTGGGCAGACCTCGTTTCGAGCATGTAGAATCACATCAGGGTATTTTGTAAAGGCACTTTTTCGCATCAGGGTGCTAATGCTACACCACTTTTGAAAATCAGGGTCCGGTACAAACATAGTTTTTTTCATAAGGGTCGAAAACTAAAGCACTTTTAAAAATAAGGGTCCAACACCAACCCCAGCCTTGTAGTAAGGGCCGTAAGGGTATTTTACCCTGATATCCTGAGGCCTGGTTTCGATACAAACGTGCTCGTTGCCATGTTATTACCGCAGCATTACCATTAGCTAATAGCTAGTATTCGTCTCTTCCCCGTCGCAGCGGCTCGTAGTTGCGACTCAGCCGTGTGGTTACATAAGCCGTGTGGTTACATAAGCCGTGTGGTTACGTAAGCCGTGTGGTTCGTGGCACAGGTGTGCACTGGGATCGAAGAGCACTCAGACGGGCGGGTCGTTCAGCCGCACAAGCGCCGTCGATCCGCGGCCAGAATAAGTGACGGCGGCCGTCAGGCGTGGCACACGAGCCGTCGATCCGTCAGCTTTCTCAGACCGAGCCCTTGTAACCGCGGGGCTCACTGCGCGCCGATGGGGCGGGGAAGAAGAGGAGGCGGGGGCCGGCGGTCGTATGGATCCAGGTAAGGGCAGTGAGGTGCCCTTGATACATGCAAGGGCGGCAGCCACCGGCGAGATAGCACGTGCACCTTAGCGGCGGCCCAGTTAGGCGCGCCGGCAGAGAAGGGCGGCACCAAGAGAAGGGGGTGGGTGCCTGTGCCGTAGGAAATGGGTGCGCCCATGCCAGGCAAGACACCGTGTCCAAAAAAACGGCGACTGAGAACCACTCACACCGTGTTGGAACCACCCACTCCCCTTTCCTACACTCACACCGTGGGCAAGACACCGTGTTGGAACCACTCACCCACAAAAAAAAACGGCGACTGAGATGTGTTGGAACCACTCACACCATGTTTGCCCACGGTGTGAGGGGATGTGTTGGAACCACTCACTCCCCTTTCCTACTCCTCCCTCCCTCACCCCTGTCGTCTCTCCATGCCCCCTTGCGCTTGCTCCTCCCCTGCACCGCCCCCTTCACCGCGGTTTATCCATTCACCCCTTTGCTGACTCTTTCCCTCACCTTCGCCTCTCCATGCCGCCACAGCGAGCACAGGGCGGGCGGCAGTGCAGCAGAGGAGGCGGAGTACCGGGGGAGGGGGAGAGGGCGGGAGCACGGGGCTGAAGAGAACCACGGTGAGACCGGAGTAGCTCCGCCATGTGATTCGAGCTTGCGGTTCGTACTTCGTCATGCTTCCTTTCGTTACCCTAAACCCCCCTCCCCTCCCCTCCCCCCTCCTCCCCTTTCCCTCCCCGCCCTTCCTCCCTGCCAACCGCTTCTCACCTGCGTATCCCTTCCAAGCCTCGACGCCCTTTCCACCCACCCTCCTTCCCACCCTCCTTCCCACCCTCCCATCAGATCCATCAGAACGCCCATTGCCACCGTCAGATCCATCGGAACGCCCATTGCCACCATCACCGTGCCCCAAGCCTTACGAGCCATTGTGGGACATCCCCTGCCCTCCCTCCTCCCCTCCCACTCCCACCAGCAGATTCATCCGAGCGCCCATCACAGCCATCAGCGGACCCCAAGCCCTACAAGCCGCCCATGGACCTCGCCATGTGGGTGAGCTGGGCTGTCCGTTGGGGTTTTGTTGATGCTGTGTGCTGTGTGCTGTGTGCTGTGTAGACATGGGCAAAAGAAATCGCATCGCATCGCATTTAATCGCGTTTTTGCGATGGCGAGTTTTTTTTTTTTTTTTTTTTTTAATCATCGCGCGATGCGATGAATTAATATCGCGCGATTTAATTTAAATCGCAATTTAATCGCGCTAAAAAACACGATTTAAATGCGATATGCGATTTTTAAAAAATCGCGTGCGATATTGCACTGAAAACCACTCTGAAACCCACTACGAAACCACACTGGTTATTTTCACTCTAGCTTACTACTGCCCGTGAGTCAATTTCCCCGCAGCCATGTTTTTTTTCTGTTTTTTTGGGGTGTTTTTTAATTCTGTTTTAAAACGCGATGCGATTTGATTAAATATCGCATGCGGTTTTTTAATACATCGCGGGTAAAATGCGATGTGCGATATTTTTTTTTTTGGAAAAATAAATCGCGCGATGCGATTTAAAACCGCATCGCTTTTTTAAACATCGCACCTGCATGCGATGCGATTTAAATCGCAATCGCATTGTGCCCATGTCTAGTGCTGTGTGCTGTGTGCTGTGTGCCGTGTGCCGTGTGCCTTGTGCCGCGTGCCGCGTGCAGCGTGCCGCGTGCCGTGTGCCGTGTGCCTTGTGCTGTGTGTTGTGTGCTGTGTGCCTGCTTGAATGAACCCATGCACCGCCCAAGCTAGTCTCGCAGCATCACTATCGAAATCCCGCCCACCCCAAACCCAAGCCCTACAAGCCGCCCGTGGACCTCGCCATGTGGGTGCAAGGTGCAAAAAAACGGTTTCTGTATTAAACGGTCCGTTTTTTACGGTCGTTTTATATGGCAGATTTATGCAAATTCTACCGTTTTTTTGTTAGAGTTTTCACCCCCCCCCCCCCCTTTTTTTTTTTCCACCCTTAGCTTTTAAAAAACCGCTGGGAAACAGAGCGGCGACAGCCTACGTGCATCTAAAACACCATCCTCGTCTTCCTAGACCTGCTTTCATTGTCCTTCTCGCCCTTCCTTCACCCTCCTAGTTAGGCTTGAGCAAACTACCCGCCCGGGTCGGGTACCCGGTACCCGGATCCGCTTTTAGGGCGGGTCGGGTATCGGAAATCCTGAAAATTACCCGGCGGGTCGGGTCGGGTTACCCGGGCGGGTATTCAATACCCGCCACCCGAAATGCTACCCGACGTGTCGGGTAACGGGTACCCGACCCGGTCGGGTAAAATATACCCGAGGTCGGGTATTCCACCTAGACATGGGCGTAAGTCGCGCTGTGTTTTAGGTTTTGCGGCAAAACGGTTATGGAGGTGAGGGGGGACGAGTGGAGCATTTGTGAGGAGAAGTTGGAGTTTGTAGATGGGGAGGATTTAAGTGCGGTGAAAGGGAGGGAGTTGGGTGGGAGTTGGAGAAGAGGTTGGAGTTTGTAGATGGGTAGGAGTTCAGTGCGGTGAAAGGGAGGGAGTTGGGTGGGAGTTGGAGAAGAGGTTGGAGTTTGTAGATGGGTAGGAGTTCAGTGCGGTGAAAGGGAGGGAGTTTTGTTGGAAATGTTGGAGTTTGTAGACAGGAAGGAGTTCAGTGCAGTGAAAGGGAGGGAGTTTGGTTGGAAATTGGAGTTTGTAGACGGAGAGGAGTTCAGTGCGGTGAAAGGGAGGGAGTTGGGTGGTCAAAATTCGACCCCCAGAAAACGCGACTCTCATTTGAGAGTCGCGTTTTCAGGAACCCTACCTAGCCTAGCCCAACTTTAGGATGTCCACTAGTAGGTGGCGGGTAGTATTACCCGCTTTTCAGGGTAACCGGGTCGGGTATACCCGGACCCGCCAGGCGGGTATTGTATTACCCGTCCCCTAAGGCCGGGTCCGGGTAAGGGTCCTGGGCATATTATCCGACCCGGACCCGACCCGAAATTACCCGACCCGAGGTCGGGTGTTGCAAAACCGGGTCGGGTCGGGTAATTACCCGGTTTTGCTCAAGCCTACTCCTAGTTGTCCTCCTCCTAGTCCTCCGACTCTACTCCGGCTCTGCTCCTCCTCCTAATTGTCCTCCTCCTCCCCACCCTAGTTCTCCCCTTCCTCGCTCTAGTCGCCCTCCTCCTCACCCTCCTCACCCTCCTCACCCTCCTCGATATAAAGCGAACTTCCGTTTTTCGGTATGAAAAAACGACCATATAAAACGGCCGTTTTTTTGCACCAGTCAGAAAACACCACTTTTGACCGTTTTAATCGTATTAAACGGCCGTTTTATACAATCCCGTTTTATACGGTAAAAAAAAGTAAAAAACGCCGTTTTTTTGCACCTTGTGTGGGTGAGCGGACCATGGGCTTTGTTGGCACTGTATGCATTCAGGGGTTGGATTTTGGCAAAGCCCTTTTTCTGTTGGGCGGGTTATGCAATTGGGGGTTTATGTGGTTGCGGGTATGTACAGCTTATGGTTTATGCAGCGTAGGGTTTATGCAGTGTAGGTATGTGGCTTCGGGTTTATGCAGTTTAGGCTTTAAGCAGCGCAGGGTTTTTACAGTGTAGCGTTGAGTGCACGGGGAGGAAGCTACTAGATATGTGCTGGTACTTTATGTATCTCCAGTTTCCCCTCTCCGCAGGACTTTGGGCAGTGCGACAGCAAGCGGTGCACGGGGCGGAAGCTGCTGCGGCTGAGGCTCATTCGAGAGATGCGCGTGCAGCAACGCTTCGGGGGGGTCTGCCTCAGGTGGGCTCAAGGGGGGGTCTGCCTCAGGTGAGGTGAAGGGAAAAAGGGGGTTGGGGAGGCTTCTTCCTCAGGTGAGGGGTCTGCCTCAGGTGAGGGGTCTGCCTCAGGTGAGGGGTGAAGGGGCACGTCTCACATGTGCGGTGCGGTGCATGCAGCAGTGGGCCCGAGGCATCTGCCAGAGGTAAGGGGGAGGAGGAGGTGTGGGGGGGGAGGAGGGAGAAGGTGGGGAAGGGAGATGGTGTGCGTGGTGCGGAAAAGACGGATGAGGTGAAACGTCCTAACCCTTCATTGGGAAATCTTCTGGCAGCCAAGTGTCGGCTGACTCAAAGGTCTCACCATTTCTGAGGCAATACTTCACTGCAGAGTCGACTCAGGAATCTCACCCCTCTCCACCCCTTGCTGCTCCTTCTCTTCTCGCCTCATCCATCGTTCCCTGCCCACCATTCACCCCCAGCCCAACCGGCCAGTGGGCTGTATCAAGAGCGGACGCTGGCAGCCGCCTGGCCGTGGTGGACTGCTCCTGGGCGCGCCTCATGCGACCCGTCTCCCCTTGCCTCTCCTGTATGTCCCCCCCCCCTGTCTTTCTTAGCCCAACCGGCCAAAGAGCTGTGTCAAGAGCGGACGCCCCCCTCCTAGCAGCCAAGGGCCTGGCCGTGGTGGACTGCTCCTGGGCGCGCCTCTCCGACGTCCCCTTTGCTGCCCTCAAGTGCGGCGCGCCCCGACTGCGTGAGCTTCTTTCCCCCCGTCTCCCACCTTGATGTTTTTTTTTTTGGGTTGCGGAGCAACCTATTGCAATCGATTTTGGCGAATTTTTTTTCACACGTTTTTTGGGGGAAATTTTATATAACTCCAGAAATCTAACAAAAAAACTCAAAATTTAGTACGTTTAAGGACCTTCCGAATTTAATATATAACTACTAACGAGTGTAGTTTGGGATATATGTGCAACCTTTTTAGGACAGTTTCGTGCTTGATTGCATCACGTCACTAGCTAGCAACGGATCCAATCAATTCATGCGCGAAAAAATTTACGTGTCATGGTACATGACGCAAAGGAAGCTACAGGAAAAAGGGGGATTTATGTGACACAAAAAAACCCAAACTCTAGCCTACCGCTTCCCCAGCACTAGCATGGGGGGGAAGTCAGCAGGCCTAGTGATTGAATAATCAACAAGTGTCATGAAGCAACACAGTCAATGAGATCCAAAAAAAGAACCCAATCCATCAAATCCAGTTCAAGAGACTACACTCAAGGAGCGCGCCTATGAACCTTCTGTGATGTGATGGACAAGGTTTCTCTTTTTAAAAATCACAGACATGCATTGCAAATTAATGAAAATGGTGATGATGGGATGGGAAGGGATGGGAGTAGGGTTGAGCAAACTACCCGACCGGGTCGGGTACCCGGTACCCGGACCCGCTTTTAGGGCGGGTCGGGTATCGGAAATCCTGAAAATTACCCGGCGGGTCGGGTCCGGGTTACCCGGGCCGGGTATCAATACCCGCTACCCCAAATGCTACCCGACGTGTCGGGTAACGGGTACCCGACCCGGTCGGGTAAAAAAATACCCGAGGTCGGGTATTCCACCTAGACAAGGGCGTAAGTCACGCTGTGTTTTAGGTTTTGGGGCAAAACGGTTTTGGAGGTGAGAGGGGACGAGTGGAGCATTTGTGAGATGTTGGAGTTTGTAGATGGGGAGGAGTTAACTGCGGTGAAAGGGAGGGAGTTGGGTGGGAGTTGGAGAAAAGGTTGGAGTTTGTAGATGGGTAGGAGTTCAGTGCGGTGAAAGGGAGGGAGTTGGGTGGGAGTTGGAGAAGAGGTTGGAGTTTGTAGATGGGTAGGAGTTCAGTGCGGTGAAAGGGAGGGAGTTGGGTGGGTTGTTAAAGAAGAGGTTGGAGTTTGTAGATGGGTAGGAGTGCAGTGCGGTGAAAGGGAGGGAGTTGGGTGGGAGTTGGAGAAGAGGTTGGAGTTTGTAGATGGGTAGGAGTTCAGTGCGGTGAAAGGGAGGGAGTTTTGTTGGAAAGGTTGGAGTTTGTAGACAGGGAGGAGTTCAGTGCGGTGAATGGGAGGGAGTTTGGTTGGAAATTGGAGTTTGTAGACGGGGAGGAGTTCAGTGCGGTGAAAGGGAGGGAGTTGGGTGGTCAAAATTCGACCCCCAGAAAACGCGACTCTCATTTGAGAGTCGCGTTTTCAGGAACCCTACCTAGCCTAGCCCAACTTTAGGATGCCTACTAGTAGGTGGCGGGTAGTATTACCCGCTTTTCAGGGTAACCGGGTCGGGTATACCCGGACCCGCCAGGCGGGTATTGTATTACCCGTCCCCTTAAGGCCGGGTCCGGGTAAGGGTCCTGGGCATATTACCCGACCCGGACCCGAAATTACCCGACCCGAAATTACCCGACCCGAGGTCGGGTATTGCAAAACCAGGTCGGGTCGGGTAATTACCCGGTTTTGCTCAAGCCTAGATGGGAGGGATATAATGGCTTAGGAAAACTGCAACCATTAAATGGAATATGCAAAGTTACAGAGAGCAGAACAATATGCTGTAATTCCACTACACGTCATCCCCACCAACTACAGCAGAAACCAAACTGGAGACAAGAAGCTTCCGAAACGAAACCTGCAATTGAACAAAAAAAAGAGAGAGATATTCAAAGCAATGCGGATGGGAAGCAAAGAATATGACAAACAGAACTACAAGAAAGCTATACCATAAGATTAAAAAAAAAAACCAGCATTACCAGTGAATGTGCAAACCTCTCCATGAAAGAAACAAGTCATGCACTTTAACGTCTCCAAGTAACCTAATTAACCTATAAATTGTCAAGAGACCCGCTGGCATAAATCATCATTCCATACAAACCAGACAAGGAAGAGGAAGGATGGAAGAATGAAAGGAAGGGACGAAATCCAGGAAGGGGGGAGGAAAGAATGGAAGAAGAACGGAGCAAGAAATGAAATCTGATCGAACATGGTAACGGAACTGTAAAGCAAATAGAGAAGCATCAGAGGTAAAACTAATAGAAATGAAGGACAAAAACAAGGTAGTAGAGGAAGGACGAGGACAGGAAGGTAAGGAAAATGCGAGGGGGAGGGGGCGGGGGATGTAAAACGATTAAGCCGAAATTGATTAGGCAACAGAGGTTGGCGAAAGCTAGAAACGGGAAAGAAAGGGAAGCATCAACGTGAGAGCTCGCTAAAACCATATATGAGGAAACAAAAAGAGTGTAAATAGCAAAGCAGAAAGAAGTAAAGGACAACAACCATTAGAGGGAAAGAAAAGAAAGCAATGAATAGAGAAAGGAACAAAAAAATGCAGAAAGAATGGAAGGACTGGACAAAAGGGAAAGGAAGGAAATACGCAAAACGAATGAGAAAGGATGAAAGAATAATAAGTGAGGAATTCGAATCAGCAAAATCGGGAAAGAAAATCTAGAGATTTGAAGGAGGACAACGAGAAGAACTAAGTCACAACTAGGGAGGAAGAAAGAATGAAAAGTTAAGCGAAGGAACGCAGAAAGAGAAAGGACAGGAGACTAAACAAAAGAGGAGGAGAGCAATGCGTAGGAACGGAGAGGCGAATGGGGGAAAGGAAAAGGGCTTGTGCTTTCAACGTTTCCAAGATGTGAATTTATGATGGAAATAGGGGAAAAAATGTAAGAGCTCGATGAAAAGGAAGGGGACGGAATCGAGCGGAGAAGAGGAAAAGCAAGTGAGTGGAGGGGTTAGAAGGCGTATCGTGCACCTAAGCTGAAATCAACCACTTACATTTCCTCCACTGAAAAGTGAGAGAGAAGATTGCACGTAAAAGTAGGTAAGCCACTATGTCACCATAGCTAGAGAAATCTATCGTAGAGTTGGGAGCAAAAAAGCAGCAGCATCTGATGCCGCGTTGCTGCCTAACCAAGTGCTACCTAAGCAAGTGCTGCCTAACCAAGTGCTACCTAAGCAAGTGCTGCCTAACCAAATGCTGCCTATACTCACTAGCTGCTGGAAGAAAGAAACATGTGAGATTAGGATGTCGAGGAAGAGTAGAGGTACGTTTTTTAGACTCTGAACCCTCGAGCGGACCAGCTGCGTTGGAACCACGTTTTTGCAGCTCTGAAAAAGCTTTTGTTTTCGGTCAGAAATTGCCCCGTGACACTGAAATTCGCGTAATGATGTCTTTTAACGGGAATTACTGGCAGTAGACATGGGCAAATGGCTACCTAATCTTGGCTACCTAATCGCATTTAATCGCGTTTTGATCATGTCTAACTGGCAGTTAGGCTTGAGCAAAACCGGGTAATTACCCGACCCGACCCGGTTTTGCAATACCCGACCTCGGGTCGGGTAATTTCGGGTCGGGTAATTTCGGGTCCGGGTCGGGTAATATGCCCAGGACCCTTACCCGGACCCGGCCTTAAGGGGACGGGTAATACAATACCCGCCTGGCGGGTCCGGGTATACCCGACCCGGTTACCCTGAAAAGCGGGTAATACTACCCGCCACCTACTAGTGGGCATCCTAAAGTTGGGCTAGGCTAGGTAGGGTTCCTGAAAACGCGACTCTCAAATGAGAGTCGCGTTTTCTGGGGGTCGAATTTTGACCACCCAACTCCCTCCCTTTCACCGCACTGAACTCCTCCCCGTCTACAAACTTCAATTTCCAACCAAACTCCCTCCCATTCACCGCACTGAACTCCTCCCTGTCTACAAACTCCAACCTTTCCAACAAAACTCCCTCCCTTTCACCGCACTGAACTCCTACCCATCTACAAACTCCAACCTCTTCTCCAACTCCCACCCAACTCCCTCTCTTTCACCGCACTGCACTCCTACCCATCTACAAACTCCAACCTCTTCTTTAACAACCCACCCAACTCCCTCCCTTTCACCGCACTGAACTCCTACCCATCTACAAACTCCAACCTCTTCTCCAACTCCCACCCAACTCCCTCCCTTTCACCGCACTGAACTCCTACCCATCTACAAACTCCAACCTTTTCTCCAACTCCCACCCAACTCCCTCCCTTTCACCGCAGTTAACTCCTCCCCATCTACAAACTCCAACATCTCACAAATGCTCCACTCGTCCCCTCTCACCTCCAAAACCGTTTTGCCCCAAAACCTAAAACACAGTGTGACTTACGCCCATGTCTAGGTGGAATACCCGACCTCGGGTATTTTTTTACCCGACCGGGTCGGGTACCCGTTACCCGACACGTCGGGTAGCATTTGGGGTAGCGGGTATTGATACCCGGCCCGGGTAACCCGGACCCGACCCGCCGGGTAATTTTCAGGATTTCCGATACCCGACCCGCCCTAAAAGCGGGTCCGGGTACCGGGTACCCGACCCGGTCGGGTAGTTTGCTCAACCCTACTGGCAGTGTAATTTCTGAAAGGGAGTATGTAACGCGTAATGCATCCAGTGGCGATTTCGGGGGTTTTGCCAGTGCTTGACGAAAACAAAAATCAGTATCCTGTGGCGAGTGTGGCTAGGAGGGTGTCATTGCCACGTCAGATTTTAGTTCAGTCTGGCAGTTGCGCGTGACTGGGGAAATAAAACAAAAATCGTCAGGTGGCCAGATTCGTTCGCCAGTGGAAACGGTAACCGCACAATCAAACAAAATCACAACGAAACTCCCAGCGGCAGGGCATTTGGCGGAAAGGCGAAAAAAATCCAAACTCACAAAAAACTGAAGATGCATTCCTAAAATTGGGCTACAGCGGAACAATTGGGAACAAATAGTTCTAGAATACTGTACAAGCAGGAACGAACAAGAAGAAGAACCAATTCAAACAGCGTGGCACGATTTTGAATCAGGAGGGCAAACTCTGATGCACATGGTATAACTTAAAGCGCACCTAAATAAAGTAAACACATATGTGCATGAAAGCCAACTATGTAACTATTTCTAACTGTATTGGATGTAGTGACATTGTATGTACTTTTATTAATGCACTGATAAGACATACACCATTGATTGAATAGTTTAATTAGTATGTATGAAATTATTATTAGATGTTAACAGATGATTTCTCATCGAAGCTTGATAATTAGCTTACGCATATACATTCTAAAAAAAAAAACGTACATATATATGTATATATATAAGGCTCCGCAACCCTAAGACGATTGCGTCGTCTCTTTTTTTTTCTTTTCTTTTCTTTTTTTTCTTCTGGTTTTTATCTTTACGTTTCAGTCCATCTTTAGATTTTCTTGCTCTATTTGTCTCAACCGCATAGCTTCCCCAATGACACACTCCCCCATTACCCCCCCTCCCTTTCCCCCCCGTTCCTCTTTCCCCATTACCACGTTCTCTGCCCTGTTCCCGGTACCTGCGCCCTGTTCCTGGTACCTTGCTCAGTTGGTAATAGACATTCTATTCAACTGCAGTATGCGAAATAAGAGATGGTATCCTTTCACAGCAATCTTTTGTGTTTCATGTTTCACCTTTATACGGCCTCATCCCCCAAACTCCGCAGTGCCCTGGCTGGTGGCAGCCAACCCAATCCACTACGGCGGGCCAGATTTGCTATCTGTGATGTCATCTCACCACACTTCTGCCTCTGCTCTCACCCCCTGTTCTCTGCATAAAGTGCCGTGGCTGGTGGCGGCCTACCCTTTCAACCACAGCAAGCCAAAGGAACAACGCTTGATGTTTTCCTTCTCTTCTCATCCCCCTGCCCTCATCCCCCTGCCCTCATCCCCCTGCCCTCATCCCCCTGCCCTCATCCCCCTGCCCTCATCCCCCAATTCTCACCCCCCTGCCCGCAGTGCCGTGGCTGGTGGCAGCCAACCCAGTAAACTACGGCAAGCCGTGCCAGCTGTCATGCGTTGAGGCCATGGCTGCTGCGCTCTACATATGGTGGGTGCTGCCCATGGGGTTAGGATGCGCTCTACATATGGCGGGTGCTGCCCATGGGGTTAGGATGCGCTCTACATATGGCGGGTTATCATGTATGTGGTATGTGGGCTTGTGTTAGGGGCTTTGCTCCTGAGCCGAGTGCTGCTGGTAGGTATTTGTGCATTCCTGTTCACATTTAGCATGGGCAATAGGCGAGTCGAGCATTACTTGCTCCGAGTAATTCTGACTCGACCCTCTTGGGAGGCGAGTCGAGCATTACTCGACTCGTTTACTCGTTTTTGGGGCGAGTGAACGTTTTACTCGGGGCGAGTAATTTTTACTCGCCCTGGGCCTGAGGCAAGCATTACTCGCCTCAGGGCTGTTTGTCCCCCCTTCCCCGAACAGTCACATTTTAGGAGGGGAGCATTTGATTGAACGTTAAACACTTGATTTCTGGTCTGGCAAACGCTAGATAAACGCAAGGGGGGGGGGAAGCGGGGCTGCAGAGCACGTTCTAGGAGGCGATATGGCGGCTTCTCTACTCTAGTTGCGTGCGAAATTAGGTTAGCAGGAGGGATAGCGTGCACCCTCCTCACGTAGAGCGTGCTAGAGGGGTGGGTTGGATTTCGTAGTTGCGATTGAAGTCGATTTGGTTGAAGTGCGGTTGAAGTGGAGGGATTTGGTTGGAAGTCGATTTCTGGCAAAAATGTTGACATTCGCGACTTGGCGACATTCCGTTTCGGATTCGCCACGTCACGCAGTTGCGATTGGTTTCTTCGCAATTTCTCGGGGGCTCCCGAAAGAACGAAAAAGCAGCCACGTTTGGCGTCTGAAATTGCGTTTGTGGTCACATAGCTTCATTTAGGGGTCTGAATCGTTAGGCCAGCCCAAGATGACTTGGCATGCATGCTATGTGTGAGGAATATCAGAGCACGCGCGGAGATGTTGCTCGCGAGCAAAAATTGCTCGCGAGTACTTTTTACTCGCCCAAATGAGACGAGTAACAGTCGAGTACTCGTTTACTCGACGAGTTAACTCGACTCGACTCGGGGCGAGTAATTTCCAGGGGGTGCCGACTCGTTACTCGGAAAAAACGAGTCGAGCAATCCAGTCGAGTTTTTACTCGCCTCGACTGCCCATGCTTAGTTCACATCACAATTCGATGCACAGTTTTTTTTCCCATTGTAAGAGTTCTCAGGCCGTACGTGCTTCACGCAGTGTTTTCCGTATCTTTCATTTCCGTCTCGCATTCATGCATCTGCTCAGTGTTGTCGCCTAAGACATTTCTTCCGCCTCCTTCCCCCCCCTCTCCGCCCCCTCTCCCCCTCCCCCCTCCCCCCCTCCCCTCTTCTGCCGCCAGTGGAGACAAGGAAACTGCCAGGGAGCTTCTCAGTCGCTTCAAGTGGGGCCACGCCTTCCTCTCCCTCAACAGGCAAGCCCCCCTCCCCCTCTCCCTCTCTCCATTTCGCCCTCTCTCGCTCTTCCCCTTGTCACCCTCCTATTTGTCCTGATCCCCCTGCTTTCCTTCCACCTTACTGTCCAACACATTTGTGTAAGCACCAACAACCCATTGGCAGTTTGAAGGTCCAACCTCATTGGCCCTCTTAAGGGCAAATGTGATTGGTCCCTAGGTTGACCGATCCATGTCTACATATGGTGGGTGCTGCTGCCCATGGGCAGGGTCCCCCCTGCCTTCCCTGCAGCGAGCTGCTAGAGGAGTATGTGCTGTGGGCGGATGGGCGGAGGTGATAATATATGCAGCGCAATCAAACTTGTTTTCTTCCATCGTCTGCGCCGCAGCGAGCTGCTGGAGGAGGCGTATGCGTCGTGTGAGGGTGGGGAGGAGGCGATAGCAGCGCAGCTGAGAGAATGGCCACACATGAATCCGGGTCCTCTCCAACCCTCTCTCCAATGCACCCCTCCTTACCCGCCGAGAGCAGCTAGAGCCATACACGGCCTTCCCGGATGGTGTGCGGAGGCGATAGCAGTCAAGCATGTGTATTACTAACCCTTCTATATTTACCCCTCTCCTGCCGTCTTCTTCACTGCAGCAAGCTGCTGGAGGCATACGCAGCGTGTGCGGATGGGGCGGAGGTTGATACTTGCACATCACTTGACTGCATACCTTCCAGTGCCTCTCTGCTGCCCCCTTTGCAGTGAGCTGCTAGAGGCATACGCAGCGTGTGCGGATGGGGCGGAGGTGATAGCGGCGCAGCACAGGTGGATGGAGAGGGAGGCAGAGCTGGCAGACGCCAGGCATGCCGGCACAGATGAGCCCTCCCCAGGTGATGCACAGATGAGCCCTCCCCATGTAATCTTGGATGGGCCTTCTCCAATAAATAACAGCCTGCACCAGGTACTGGCTGCTTTGTTGTGTACATACCAGGTAAGCATGGGCAATCGAGGCGAGTAAAAACTCGACTCGTTTGCTCGACTCGTTTTTCCTGAGTAACGAGTCAACCTCCTCTGGAAATTGCTCGCCCCGAGTCGAGTCGAGTTTACTCGTCGAGCATTCGAGTACTCGAATGTTACGCCTGGTCCAGGCGAGTAAAAGTTACTCGCGAGCAGAGATTGCTCGCGAGTAACAATTACTCGCCTGCACTGATTTTTCCCTTGTTCACACTCAAAACGTGCATTGCATGGCAATGCACAGCTGGACTTACAACTCTGGCCCGCTAAAAGCACCCCTTTCAGAATGTGAGTGAAAAGGAAGTGGGGCGAAATGGCCCGAGTCGAGTAATACTTGCCTCAGGGCGAGCAAAAAGTACTCGCCCCGAGTAAAAATGTTACTCGCCTAAAAAACGAGTAAACTAGTTGGGCCCTTGAGAAAAAAGCTCGACTCAAGTATTTCTCGACTCGCCAATAAAGGGAGGCGAGTCATAATTACTCGAGGCAAGTTTTACTCGACTCGCCCCCTGCCCATCCCTAATACCAGGTAGTGCATGGATGTGCGTTCACTAGGTAATGAATTCTTTTGTTTTGTGACTATAACCAGATGTACCTTGACAAGTTTTGCCTCCCAACTGCACATCACCTAGAGCATCTGTGTGTCTTCCACTCGCACCTCTCAAACAAAGCGCACTCCATCCCTCCCTGCACGCAGCGGCGCAAACGACTTTGGCAGTCCTGTCTTTATCCCATCCCTCCCACCCCTCCCAATCCCTCCCTGTCGTAACGAAAACGTCGAGATTCTTAGAATCCAACTCCGTTCTCAGGGACGCCGTGACAGCTGTAGGGTTGAAACTTGGATGGCATGTCCCTGTGTCAATCAGCTTTCTAACACCATACAGCACATTTTAATCCAAGTACGGAGCAGGGAATGGCGTTAAAAAACGTAGAGCTGGTATGAAAGCTATTCGTCATTACTAGCAAGGAAGAGGTGAGTGCGTACAAGCGTAGGGGACCCCTTAAGGGGTTTGGGTCATATTGGGAGCTCAGAGAAGGTTGAGACTTGAGGGAGAAAGGCATGAGAGTGATGGGAACGCCCTGAGATGGCCAGCATGGCTAGCTTTACTTGGACGTTTCCCGCTGGACTTATGGCCAGCAACAGTGAAGGAATGTTGCCATGAGTCAGCAGATCTTCCCACTTGCACCCTCAAGCAAGTTGCTTCTGGGAAGCCCAAATTTCTCAGAGAAGGTTAGCTAAGGTCCTCTTGACAGCCTATACATCTTGTCGGGTAGGAATTTGACAATGCAAGCTACAGTGTATGCCAATTGTGAAACAGTCAGATTTGGCGAGTTGTCAAGTGCTGCTCCGATGTCGGTGGAATTCGGCGACCACTTGCAGAACGTGGCAAGTAGCGAGCTGGCCGAGTTTGAGCCGCCTTTGAGCAGGTTACACCCGAAAGTGTGTACCTGGGTGTTACACACACATGTATGTATCACTCTTTTAAGTCTTAAGCCAAATCGAGCTACAAATACTGTTGCCAGACTCATGGGCCTTCCCCAATGATTTTGAGATTTTAAGGGTTTGCCGCAGTTTCCCGAATGCCGCTTCCCACAAGATTGCACAACGTGAGCAGACCTGTAGGCCGAATGGGAGTGCTATGACCGTATCAATGTTGAACATTGGCATAACACTCCCGTCCCCCTCCACCCTCCTCTGCAGCCAGCAATGACAGCGACTCACACGGCTCTGGCTCTAACGGTGCTGTCTTTTCCCCTCTTTGTTCCATCCCTCTCCTCCCCCCTCTGCAGGCGGTTCTGACAGCGACTCTGAGGGGTCCGACTCTGATGGTGCGGCTCCCCTGTATCGCAACCCGAACCACGGTGCTGAGTGGAGGAGAGGGGGGAGGGGAGGCGAGGACGAGGAGGAAGAGGAGGAGGACAAGGAGGAAGAGGAGGAGGAAGAGGAGGATAATGATGAGGGGGAAGAGGATGAAGAGGAGGAAGAGGAAGAAGATAGTGATGAAGGGGGGGAAGATAAGGAGGGTGCGACAAAGCAAGTGCAAGGCAGCAACAAACAGGGACAGTTTGAGGGAGGGAGGGGCATGGGAGGCAGGCGGAGATGAGTGCAGTAAGAGCGTTCTGTCAAACATATATTGTATGTTTCTGTAGACTATATAGGGTTGTGCCTTAGGGAGTACAACTCATTAGGTTATATTCCCTTGTATGCCTTGTTCTAGACATTCTTTCACTTGAACATAGTATCATGAGTAGGTAGGTCCACCCTCCCCCCCTAGCGCTTCCACCGTAGGTCCTAGCTGCCTCGTCGTCCCACGGCCCCGTCCCCTAGCGGCCCCGCGGCCCCGTCCCCTAGCGCCCCCCCCCTCCCAGCCGGCCCCGCCTCCTAGCCGGCCTCGTCGCCCAGCCGGCCCCGTCTCCCTGCCGGCCCCGCCTCTTTGCCGGCCCCGTCGCCTTGCCGCCCGCGGCCCCGTCTTCTAGACGCCTCGTCGCCGTCCTCGGCCCCTCTGCACCGCGCTGCACCACACGGCACAGCTCTGCACCGTACTGCACCGCCCTGTACCGCACTGCACTGCACCCTACCGTACTAAACCTCCCTCCACCGCACAGTACCGCACTGCACCGCACATCACCGCTTTTTGCCGCGCTCTCCTGCCCAGTACTGTCATTCTCCTGCTGCTGCAACCATGATGTCGGACTCGGTCCTGCGTTTTGATGCTGAGGGGCAGCTGATTGAGTTCGACTCGTGGCTCGTCGACCTCCAGCAACACCTGACAGGTCAGCGGCAGGACGGCCACTCCCTGGCCGTCCACATCGACGGTACGCTCCCCTGCTCGTACCCCCCTGCTGCCCTCCCTGCTGATCCCACCTCTGCTGACCGTGCGTCCGCTGCAGCTGCTGCCCTTGACCGTGCTGTCTGGTTGTCGCGTGACGCTGTCGCACAGCTTGCGATTAGTCATGCCCTTCCCCTGTCTGAGCGCCCCCGCTTTAGGTCCGTCAGGACTGCGCAGGAATTCCTAGAGGATGTTGTTGCACGCTATTCCACCCCGCCCTCTGCCTCTGTAGGTCGCCTAATCCTGCCCATGCTCTTTCCTGACCTTGCGTCTTTCCCCACTGTCGCTGACCTAGCCGCCCACCTGCGCACGCTAGACACGACCTGGCGCGCTGCCTGCACTGAGGCTCAGCTTCGTGTATTTCAGCCCCCCATCTGCTCTGCCCTCTACCTGCTTGCCACCCGCCTCCCTGACCGCCTTGCCACTGCCCGCGATCACTTCCTTAGTCTCCATCCCGCTGACCTCACCCTCACTGACTTTGTCGACACCCTGTCTGCCATAGAGACCCGTCAGCGCTCTATCGCTCCGTCTAGCGGTACCGTGCCAGTCTCTATCTTTCAGGGCTGTGCCCCTCCTCAGTGCTCTTAATCCGACGGTTCAGCTGCGGTTGCTGAGACAGCTCCGGCTGTGGAGAGAGCCGCCGCAGTGCAGTTTCGTCCAGGTAAGGGTCGCCGCCCCAAGACTGGGCGCGGCGGAGGTAGCGGAGGAGGGGGTGGTGCCGGTGGTGGAGGTGGCTCGCCCGCTGGTAGTACTGACGAGGGGGCCGAGGCTGGTGCCCCGGAGCAGCAGCCCCAGCAGGCTCCGTAGTTGGACAACCACCAGCAGCAGTAGCATGAGGCGCAGCAGCAGCAGCAGCGGAGGGTCGGCCGTCTCCCGCCCGGGTGGCCTGGAGCTGGAGGTGACAGTGGTCGCAGTGGTCGCTCGCGCGGCGTGTTGTCGGGTGGTAGTCAGAATGACGGGCGCTGCCAGTATCAGCTCCAGACCGGTCCTCGCCGCGGCCTCAACAGGGTCGATGGAAAAAGATCGGTGTGTGGTAAGTTCGGCCATACCCCCGCTTGTTGCTTTCGTCGCCTAGACAACCTGTTTCATCTCCGCTTCGGTCCGTCGCCTGACCTCCCCGACTGGCACAGTCTACTCCGTCGTCGTGTTCGGATCTTTAATATGGACATGGATGAGATTAGCTCTGCTTTGTATGCGTTGTATGCGCTGTATGTTCGTTCCTATTACCCTGTGTTGCCTAGAGTAGTTGTGCCCAGTGTGCCTAGTTCAGGCTCCCCTGCTGCGTCAGGCGTAGGATCCCTTGCCTCGTTTAGCCTAGGGTCCTCCATCGCTCCTCTGACCTCTGTCGCCGCTGCCGCGCTCTCCTTCACCCTCGACTCCGGTCTTCCCGGTGCTTCTTTCGCGACTCCATGACGCTTACGCCGCTTGCCGCTCCTGCTGCAGTTGCTCTTGTAGACCCTTCCTCCGGTCTTGTAGTTGCCCGTAGCTCCACTACTCTCCCCTGTCTGGCGGTTCCCTCAGGCTCCCTTACAGGCCTGCACATCCCCTCGTTCTCTAGGAACCTAGTTGGTGCCGGCTGCCTCTAGGACCTTGGCGTCACCACTACGTTCCTTGGGCACGAGCGGTACGCTGTCTGTCCTGAGGCCACCACGGGTGGCCCCCTCACCACGTTCCCCCGGGACTCGGTATCTGGCCTGTTCACGCTGGACACCGCTTCCCCCCCGGTTGGGACGCCTCCCCAGGTACCTGCGTCTTCCCAGGTTGTTGCGGCGTGCTCTTGTCGATCGCTTACTCACCCGTCACTTCTGTGGCACCATCGTCTAGGTCACCCCACCCTCACCTGTCTCCGTCACGTGTCCCAGCACCGTCTTGTCCTAGGCCTCCCTGCGCTCCCCTCCTCACCCGTGCCTCCGTGCACGCCCTGTGTCGAGGGCCGGCTCCGCCGTGTCCCTCACTCCTCCTTGTTCCCCCCTACCTCCGCACCGTTGCAGACCCTGCACATGGACGTCTTGGGCCCCGCCCCCGTGCATGGGCCGCCTTGCGAGCGCTACTTCCTAGTGCATGTCGACGACTACACCTGCTACACCACCGTCTTTCCCCTGGAGCGGAAGGCTGACGTGCCTGACGCTCTTCTCCCATGGCTTGTATCTGCGCGTGTTCACCGAGGTCTCCCTGTCTTGCGTCTTCACTCCGACCGTGGTGGCGAGTTTGCCTCTGGCTGCCTTGGTCGCTTCTGTCGTGCAGAGGGCATCACCCAGACGTTCACCCCGCTGGACTCCCCGCAGCAGAATGGGGTCGCTGAGCGACGCATCGGTTTCGTCATGGAGGTCGCTCATACCTCCATGATCCATGCCCGTGCACCCCATTTTCTGTGGCCGTTCGTCGTTCGCTACGCTGCTCACTAGCTTAACCTCTGTTCGCACCCTCAGCGGTCGCAGGTTTCGCCGACCCTCCTCTGGACCGGGTCTCCTGGTGACGCGTCTGCGTTCCATGTCTGGGGCTGCCTTGCATACGTTCATGCCTCTGGCACGGACAAGCTCACTACCCACACTGTCCCCTGTGTCTTCCTAGGTTCCCCCCTCGACTCGTCGGACTGGCAGTTCTACCACCCGCCTTCTCACCGGTTCTTTCACTCTCGTGACGTCACTTTTGACGAGTCCGTCTCCTTCTACCACTGCCTTCCCCTTTGTGGTCCCCTGGTCACTCCCCCCCAGTTCCTGGTGCCCCCCCCTCCCTCGGTCGTCCCTGTCCAACCCCCTCTCCACCCTGCCCCGTCTGGTGTGTCTCACGTCACCCCCCTCCCGTCGGTTGTCCCTGCTGAGGAGTCCGCTGACTCTCGCGGCTCGGCGGAGTCTCCTCCCCCGCCTGTCCCTGCCGCAGCCGCCTCCGCCGCTGCCGCCTCCACCACTGCCACCGCAGCCCAGCCGCTGTTGTCACCGCCGCTGGGGTTCGTGCATTCTGGGGGTGCTTGGGAGCGGGCTGGAGCTGAATCTGCAGCGGGCTCTGGGGGTGCTGGCGCGGGGCTTCTCGGAGGAAGCCATGTTGTCACGGGAGGTTCTGGTGTTGGATTCGGGAAGCAATCGCAGCTGTCGCCTCCGGTGTTCGCTCTTCGCCTCCTCGGTCTCCCTTCCCCTGACCGCCCATCGCTGCCTCCCCCGCTGCTGCTGCCTCCTCCTCTGCCGGTCCATGTCCCCGTGCTTCTTCCCTCGGACTCCTCTCCGGCTCGTTTCCTTCCCCGTTCTCCTCCTGTGTCTCCTCCCCTCTCTCCTGACCCGACTCCTCCGTCTCACATCTGGTCTCGTCGTCCGTCTCATGCTCGTCCTACCTCCCATGTTCCACGTTCTCACCCTATGTTGCTGTGCTCTTACGCGTCTTGTGCTCCTCCTCTCCTCCCGTCTCCTCCTCCGTCGCCACTTGCTGTGGCCCCGGCTCCGTTCGCGGACTTCCTCCGTGCTGCGCATCCCCTTGTTCCTCGCGTTCTTGCCTCTCTCGTTACTGACCCGTCCACTCTTGTCGCTGCTGTCACTGACTTCGCCGCTACCCGCCGCCTGGACAACACCACCGCTCTGGTCTCTGACCCTCCCTGCCCTACGGCCGTCGGGGGTGTGGCTGCTCTTGGCAGTGACGTCCTAGAGGTCAGGCAGTTCGAACTCGCTTTCGTGTCTGAGGCCGCTCCCCATCTCTGATCCATGCTACTAGTCCCTAAGGGTGACCCAGACGCCCTCGACATCCCGACCCCTCGCACCTACGCTGAGGCCACCTCGGGACCCTTGGCCTCTCAGTGGATAGCTGCCATGGAGCAGGAGACGGCATCTTGGAGATCCGCCGGTACCTTCGTCGACGCAGTTCCCCCACCTGGGGTGAACGTAGTCAATGGCCGGTGGCTCTTCAAGGTGAAGCGCCCTCCTGGAGAGCCGCCTGTCTTCAAGGCACGCTACATCGCTCGAGGCTTCAGTCAGTGTGAGGGGGTGAATATCTTTCAGACCTTCGCCCCGACCCCGAAGATGACCACTCTTCGGGCGCTGCTACACGTAGCAGCACAGCGTGACTACGAGCTGCACTCCCTCGACTTCTCCATAGCTTTCCTCCAGAGCAGTCTACACAAGCAGGTCTACCTGCGTCGCCTCCTGGGCTTCTCCGGTACCTTCCCCCCTAGCACCGAGTGACTCCTCCGGCGCCCCGTCTACGGCTTGCGACTGGCGCCCCGTGAGTGGCACGATACAATGCGTGCTACACATGCTGACTTGCAGTTCTTCCCTTCGTCTGCAGACCCCTCGCTCTTTGTCCGTTCCGGCCAGACTCCATTCTACATCCTTGTCTACGCAGATGATCTGGTCTTTGCTACTGCAGACAGAGAGGCACTTGCCGTAGTGAAGGCCGAGCTGCTGAGGAGACACACCTG